ATTTGGTGTGAACGTATTTCATTTTTCAGAAGTTAAGTCAGTTCTAATTAAACTTGTATTGAGGACTCCTTCAGAATTCTTCCTACCAGTATGGATCCATGCAGTAACAAATCACCACTGTGACAAATCAGTCACCAGCTATACTCTCAGACTTTCATGGGGCCTCATGCTAAGGTAAGACCAAAAGGAGTTTTCCAGAAAAAACTAAAAATAACCCAAGGCTCACTTGCTTGCAACCCCTTCCCAGCCATCTCCAACTGCTCTCCAGCATTTCTTTGCTATCCATTTATTAAAACAAAAGTATACGCTGGAGCCAATTTGGAGCCCTGTGTTGTGAATTAAAAATGTACTTTGGCAAAAAAGAAAAAAAAAGAAAAACAAATGTATTTTGCTTTCCTGAGGTAGGACAAAACCTTTTGAAAGAGGGCACTCCCAAGGGACAGCCTTCCTCTTCTGTGTGTACACAAGTCTCACTTCAGTGTGATTCCAGTACTGTCTCAAAGGCACTCCACAGGGCCTAGCTTTAATGGTCAGAGGAAGATTAGATGTACAACATCTCTCTAGACAAGCCCTGAAGACAATGTGGAAAACAACAGCTACTATCAAACCGTTCTATACAGTAGTCCATGCTATTTAATGCATTTAGAATGTAAAGCACGAAAGCAAAGCCAAATGTACAATAGGAAAACACACTCCAGTGAAGGAAAATCAACATCCAGTGTCCAGTCTTGCCAGATCCAAGGACCAGCAAGACTGGCCCAGCCATTGGTGGGGCTCTGCTGCCCCCACGTGGCTGAAGTCCTTTTCTGACAAAGCAGCTAGGATTCCCATGTAGAAATGGGTGATTTCTAGAGGAGTGGAGTGACAGGTGGATTCTTTCACTTACACATTCATTTAATAAGTATTAATTTCAACCATAGCCCCAAGCACTGGACCAACTGCTGTTAGGAACTGGCATGTGAGCTCTGAGATGTGAAAGTGCACTGTGAACACTGGTCCCAGAAGAATATGGGGTGGTCAGTAGGGAGCGGGATTCCCAAACATGCTTCTTCTTCTAATGAATGGCGAAGCTGTCTCTGGATAAGTACACCCTATGACAAACCTACTGGGTCAGTAGGAGGAAGGATAAAAGGCAGCAGACGTGGGACTTAGACTTGTACTAGAAGAAGTATAGGGAAAGGCAGGCTGTACTTTTTGTTTGCATAATGAATTAGCTACTTTAAAAATATTTCAATGCAGTCAGTAAGGGAAAGCATGAGGTATAATATGCATATTTCTACTACTGTTCCCCTCTTCCCTCAACACCTAGGTTTTGTAAAACATTACTGTTTTGATGGCAGGGGGATTTAGCTCAGTGGTTTCGCCGCCAGCTGCTCAAGGTCCCAAGTTCGATGCTCAGTACCCCCCACACAAAAAAAGTTACTGCTTTGAATTACATTAGCAATATATACTACAATCTTGTTTGGAAAAATTCAAGGAATAAGAAAATAAAGTCAAAAGTAAGATTCTCCCCTCAAAATCCACTGTTCTCTCACAATCTCACAATTTTTCTTCCTAGAAACAAGCACCATTATCAATTTGCTGTGCTTCCTTCCAGAATGATTTCTGATGAAGTCATGTAAATACATATTGTACTATGATTTACATAAGTGAAAATATGTGTTTTTCTTCACTTTGTTTTTTTTTCAATCAACACTATAGTTTGGAGATTTTTCAGTGTTAGTATATAGATAATAGAATTCTTAGACTTAAAACTCATTCTTTGTAAATAGAATTCCACAGTAAGACTACACCTTGGCTATTTCACCATTTCTTTTTTGACAATTCACAAGATGAAAGCTGCTAACTAAGGTCTTTCTGGATTTCTAAAACCAAGAAAACAAGCGAAAAAAAAATCCAAACCAAAACAAAACAAAAAACCTAAGTCTAAACCTAATAAAACAGACAAAACAGACATCTTCCTTGACATTCTCACTTGCAGACCCTCAATGAATTCCCAGACCTGAGCATATTTACAAATCCAGAATCTCATAGGAAAGTCAGGAAGGAAGAATTCAGTAATAACATCACAAGTATGCATTATGACTTTTCAGTCCCTGTTTTCTGCAAAGGTACTAGTCATCATTAGATAAATCTGTCCTAAAAAGGAAAGTCCTAGTCCTCAGGATTGTGACAGCTAACTCCTGGAGATCCAAAATGTCATAGTAGTTCACTGGTTAGAGTGGGGTGGAGAGATCAAAGGAATTTTAACCTAAGTCCACCTCACACCCAAAGACTGTTACTCCACTCCCCTCCCCACTCAGTTCAAATAGCACAACAGAAACCGCATGAATCCCTGAAGACTAGCTATAATCAGAGATCTGAAGGTACATTTAACCTGCCAGTCCAGTTGGTAGCTAAAGACGACTGCTGTTTATAAACTCAATAAAGTAGTGCAGCCAGCTAGAAACACTTTTCCTCATGTGGTCGCTTTGGACAAACAAGTCAAGAGGCCCTTGTTTGCACCTATTACTTGGGCAGATGTTCTGTTCCCTCTCCATCCAATAACAACCATTCATTATATTACAGGGTCTGTGGGTCAGGAATCGGGACATGGCTTAGCTGGGTGCCCCTGGCTCTGGATATTTTAGGAGGCTGTAGTCCAGATGTCAGATGTCAGAGTCATCTCCAGACTTGTCTGGAAGGATCTACTCCAAATTCGCTCATGTGCTTGCTGTCAAACCACAGGTGCTCACTGGTTGTTGGCTGGGGACGACAGCACTTTGTCATGTGGGTCCCTCCCCAGGGCAGCTCATACCATAGCAGCTTGTTTCCCTCACAGTGAGTCAGAGAGTGAAAAGGCATGTTCAAGATGGGAGCCACAGTCCTTTTGTCTCCTAAACTCCAAAGTGATGTCCCATCATCTTTTGTATTCTTAGACTAAAGTTAATAGGTCAGTTCACACTCTGCTAAGATCTACTGAGCACCTTCAACATGCTAGTGTATGGCCATATACTCGGCTTCCTTCTGAGCTAAGAACCAGGCCACATGATGTCAGAGGTCCCCAGTGGGCCAGCAGGTGAACAGTCCACTTGATCTAGCTATAGGTGAGTAGTCCTCGGGTCAGCAGATTTGGCATCTGGGGAGAGCTCATCTTTACTATACTTCATCTTCATGTGTCCTCACACAGAGACAAGACTGAGGGAACGCTCTACCCCCAGGACTTAATCACCCCTCAAAACACCATCTCATATTCATCATACCAGGTTAGGAGGCTAAGATTTCAATAAGTGAATGAAAGAGGGACACAGACATTCAGTCCATAACTCTACCATTCTCTTAATTTGTACTCTGCTTGTCTTTATATTATAGATTATGGTTATCTTAGGACATTAAGTTTCTCCATGAATTTATATTATGTAACTTATCTCAGAGTGTTGATATTAATGTTTTTGTTACATATTCCAAATTGTTTTTCAAACAGTTGCAACTGTTGGGTTCTAGCATGCCACTATATTTGGATAAAGCACTGGTGGAGCACAGTGAAGACTCACGCAGCAACCTCAAAAAAGTTGCCTGTACTGTGCTGCTGTCACTATTTTATCACCTCTTACTCATCCCTCAACACACTGGGGCTGGCTTCTGCCCAAATCACTCCACTGAAACTGAATCTGTCAGGGCTCGTGTTGCTAAATCTATTTCTAAGAAGCATCTGACAATCTGAGACTCCTTTCTCCATGAAGCTTTTCTGCTCTTCTGGTTTACCTCTTCCCACTTTTGGTCCCTGGTGCTGGTCCATCCTGTTCTCTCTAGACTGCCCATGTTTCCTGGGACTCTGTTCCAGGTCCAGTGGTTTTCTGGTCTAAACCTCTCCTCAGACAGTATCAGCTATTGCCACTTCTACATGCTGATGATGTCCCACACCCATCTGCTTACTACATGGGGCACTCTGGGAGGAGGCCCCAAGCCCACCTCACTATACTGATGTTGAAAATGAAACTCACCATCTTCTTCCATCCCTATAAATGTTCCCCATCTCAGCAAACTGCTCCAACACATACCCAGATGCTCAAGCCAGAGATGTGGGCATCACTTCCTCCTCCCTCACTCCACACTTCAAACAATCCCCTAATTCTTTCGATTTTAGCTCTAAAATTCTCTCCAATCTGTCCCTATGTCCCTTGTTTTCTGCCATCGCAACATTCTAACTTGCTCCATTCTCTGGTCTTCCCTCCTATCCATTCTTGATGCTTCAAGGAGAGTGATCCCATTTGAAACGGAAATCTCATCACCGTCTATCGCAGTTTAAAACTCTGCAGGATGTCCCCCACTACCTCAGACAAAAGTCCAAGCTCCTTTGCTTCCTGAGGCAGATATGAGTATATATGATCTTTTAAAAAAAATAATCATACAGTAGATTTTTGGTATACAATTCTACAAAATTTAACACATTAGTTAACCATTATCAACGCCCAAACGTCCTTCACGTTATTCCCTTGTAGTTACACCTTCACCCAACTCTAACTTCTCAAAAATGTCAATGAAATAGGATATAATTATTTAAAAACTAAAGCAAAAGAAAATTCGGGCCCTTTAAAGTGTCTTTAATGCCACTGCCTATTTCTCACCTCCAAAATCTGTTTAGTTGCACAACTAGCCTGAACTGAGGAGCTCCAAGCTTTCCACCATTCTGCTTAGGTCTATCACTCCAGCACGGAACACGCAGAGTCCCCTACACGACAGGTTCTGGCGCCTGCAACAGCGTGGCGTCGAAGCAATCTCATTCAGCGAGCGCTCCGCGGGG